GATTTCCCCTCTAACTTTAACTTTATTTTGTTTATTTTGTACTGTGAAACCAATCTGCACTTATAGCGTTAAAATGTGCTTTTAACACAATCTCATTACTTTGAAAAATTAATTTGCACAAAACACACACACACTTGCGCGCTTGGATAGCCAAATTTTCGATGCATTAGTGCCAACAACTAGAAAATGAACTTTTAAAGCCACCTCCAGCAGATAGGTAAGTGGTTTCTTGGCAATTTCGAGCGACGACCGTCTAAGTACAATTACAACACACTCCGCTCTTCTGCCAACCAAATTACGGCAAATTCATTAGCACACCTTAATTTCGCAAACTTTCCGCCTGCGTTACTGCCCCCTGTCCACCTGTGTAACAGTCGCAGGCGAAGGACAAGCGCCCGAGTCCTGTCTGTCGCACACACCCTACACCATAACGGCGTAAACAAAAGCAAMTACTGCTAAGCAAGCAAGCGACATTCSTCTTTAGAGGAGCTRCCTCACCAACTACAACACCACCAATACTGCTACCACTCATGCTAATGCGCCTTCCAGGTAGTCTAGCATTGAATTGGAAATTAATCATCGAGATAAAGTGACACTTGACGCCATGTGAATATTTACGATGTTGGGCCAGCACCGGCGGTATGAAAACAAACAGCAAAACCAGCAACAAGGAAATTGAAGCTAAAAAAGCTTGCAAGCTACTAAGCAGGCTATAATTACAAACACAACAACAAAAGTAAGGAAGTGCTAATCACGGGCGAAAGTGTGGAAAACTTTTGCAATTTGTGTGGATTTAAGCCGGTGGCGATGGTTTGAAAAATTTGCCGAGTTTTAATAGAAATAAAAAAAGTCAGCGCACAACCCTGGGGCGGATGTTTCGCCTTCTCACTTCAGCTCGCCTTCAAACGGATGTTTTTTGGCTAACCAGAGTTCATTCAATATTTACCAGGTTTGATCTCAATATTTTCATTGGTCTTGAGTAAGATTTCAAAAGCACTCAAGAGGTATAATCTCATTTTATCTGAAAAGTAAGTAAGTGGTTGTTCTCCAATTTTGATACTTTTAAATCGCGTTGAGAGGATACCAAGGAGATGGCAGGAGTGCAGCCTTATCGGGCTCAATTAGCACTTAATGTGCCAAGGAGATATAGTCTAAAGGAAGTATACACAATCAGTAAATTTGTGTTGTGAAATATTTTTCACATTTTAATTAATCAAAACCCGATGAAATAAGCTACCTGGGGTGSAAAACTCCTAAATCATGTGCAAAACGGTAAATCGGAAGTACAAAAAATTCTTATTGGCACTCCATAAAAGAGATTAGAGGAACAAGATCGAAGTACTATCTGGTCACCGTCTAGGATTCTCACGATATGATACACTGGAGGAGGTTATCGATAGTGAATCCGCAGAGTCTGGTATCGCAAACTGCAAACTGGTCTATGCATGGCTTATTAACCTACCATAWTAACCTAACATAACCTAATATTTGTGACGCTAAGAAGGCGGCAGCAATGTGGTCACCGAATCTGCCRGTGACAGTTCGTAAAATATTGAAAACAAGAAGATCTAAAACATGTGTGCYATTGATTTAATGTTTATACCGCTTTACTATTTTTCAATAATATCGTTTTGAGGGCGTGTTAGTGATCCGCTGCTGCCAATTTATAATGACGTCCATCGGAGARTRGAAATAAGTATGTGCGTCAAACKTTCATTCTCAYTTTGYCAATTTCTCCGCMCAACCAAAAAAAMAWTTTTTTTTTTCATATTCATAAATTTGATCCGGGCTGACCCGGACTGCCCTCAAATTCAGTCGTTTACGACGTATTGTTCGACATGGATGCGTCAAAACGGTAAAGTGGTATTCCTTTTTGACCATTAGACTCTGTGCAACTTTATGGTTAACCATAAAACGGTCATGAAAGAAAACATCAGCTTCATTTTTTTTCGACCGTAGCTTATTTTATTTTTTTTTTGATTGTTGTTAATTTGACGTCATATTCATAAACGCTTCTCTCGTAATAATGCACATGGTGAATGAAGGTTTCTCAGATACTGATTGTCAAATGTCTATTTTGTGGTCTCTACTCGAGATCGTTTATGCAAAAGATTTAGGTATTCTGGTATGTGTCTAGCATTGACACGGTTCATACCCAAAACATTAACGAAAATAAGTCGAACCAATCCACAACAAATGTTGAGATCCTCTGTCGGCTTCAAGTTTCTTCGTTATCATCGTCATTAACAGAGATATATTGACGACTCGGAAGAGACAAGTTCTTTATGAGGTCAYCTTCATTGAATACTTTGCAACACTCAAACACTTTTGTTCGCGATAAAATAAGTTCCCAAAACACTTTTGCAAAATTTTCAACGATTCGATGGCCATGATTCTTTTAGGGTCTTACAAGCAACCGTTAAAACAAGAACACTACTTTATCCAATGCAACATGTTGCAAGAGTGTAAAATATGGTAGGTAACTATTTATTGTTGTTGTAGAGCAGCGACATTAGTTACAGTAACAGTTCATATTTAGTAGACAGCTTTATTATGCCGTCCTTGAGGCCCTTGTTGCCCACTGTTTAAATAAATAAATATTCAGTTGCATAAGTAGTAAGAAATTATAGCGCACCACGAAAGGCGAAGGATAGCCATATACTAGATATAATCATCAAACAAACTATAATAAAATCCAAACAACAGCGACAAAATCTAACGTTTGCATAGTTTGTCAAGTCGTTTATCCAGGGTCGCCGTCGCTCGTGCTTTATCGTTAACAATTTGTACGCAGCAACAACAACAACAGCAGATGAATTAGTTGTGTTGGTCGTCGCTGGGCCCGGGYACGCCACGTACGTGTCCAATAAATACAATAAATTACACCGGACAGGTAATGCAGTTAACACCACCCAACAGCGCCGCCTTCGTGGGTCGCGGTTCTTAGCGTCTTCTTAATGAAGCGACAGCGGATGCAATTTTCGTTAGAGGTCATTAATTAAATAATGTAACAATTTGTAAGTGATTTTTGTGAACTCTTTTCAMATTCAGAAGCGACAATAAATAGTTTGGAAGATAACTATTAGCGCGAGTCTCTATTTTGTGACTAATGAGAGCGCTAGCGCACTTATCTAATAATGCTGACAGTTATACGGCAGCACTTTGAGAAGGCAGCGTGATGAAGAATGCAATTACAACATCCACTTTGGCGTTATCAAGCAGGAGTTTTGGCGATTATGGGAAATTATGAAAGCAATATTCATAACTGGAATAAAATTTAGCATATGAGAGGGTGATCTAGTTCCAAGAATTTCCATAACTAAGTCGCAATTCTGAGAGAGCAGGATGACTAAAAGAACTTTTCATCTGTCAAATACATACAGTAAAATAAGACGAAAACGAGKAGAGCATACAAATTATGGYTTGTGCAAGAACTGAAGCCGCTAGACCTTCCCAAGCCACATCACTTGAAAAAGCCCCGGAAGATCCGACGACCATGATAACCGACTATTTGAAGCTCGTGATCTCGCYGACATTTGCATAGATCAATGGATTTGTTGAGAGAASAYTTTAGTGAGCAGATAATTTCTCGTTTTGSGCTGGTCGATTGGCCATCAAGRTCGTGGGATATCACACCGTTAGACTTTTTCCCCGTKGAGATAAAAGTTTGAAATCTATGCGGACAATCCCGCATCGATTCAGGGGCATACGGATTTTAATATGTCATTATCTCATTATCACTCTAGTTGGATTTTGCAATTTCGTACTGACTTTTTGGATCGTAAGTCATACCTTATCATTTTTTTTCTAGCACGTAACATAGTGTCTGTGCTTTCATAGCGATTGCGACTCCAGTCAACTTATGACATTTCGTGTAATGAGTAATTTTTCACTTAACCCCGAACTTGAAATAAATAGCTTAAACTGGCCAAAACATAACTATTAGCACTTATCCCATTGAAAATAAGGTTAACATACGATACGTCATGAACGAAAGTTAAAAAAGAAGAAGAAAAGCACTAATGGCATCGAATGTACCCTCTTAAAGTTGAGCTCACTGACTGCGAATTTCGGTAGTATATTTTAATAATTTCGAGTAGTTGTTGGATCGTATATCTTTCCATGATCAAATGGCAAACCTTACCGAAGAGAAATTTGGATTCGATCTAAAACTGTTTAGTGTGGTAATTTCTTCTTAACTCGGTCATCTCTACAAAGTGATAATGTGATTACACGTCTGTTTTAAGTATACAGAAATATTTTCCAGCTYAGGTAAATGTAAGAAATTTATTTCTCGAGCTATTTGTTCTTTTTGAWACCTTTATGAGTCCCACTGAGCTAAATAAATACTTGTAATTTCTCCATCTTGGAGTAAGAATACAATTTTTCAATTTTTAATTCCGATTTTGGAACTAAAATTTTAATCCAAGATGTTGGCATTAATCCGGTTTTTAGGATCACATTTTTTTTTTTTTTTTTTCAAACGGATATTTGGGATAAAAATTTGTTTTTAATTCAAATTTTGGGTTTACAAAAAACCAAAAACTATTTTAATTATATTTTCGTCGACAAAATAATGCAATTCGATATTATTACTTACAAAAAAAAAAAAAAATAATAATAATTTATAAGAATTCCAGCGCATATGAAAAGCCGCACGCCACTAATTAATATTTGGCAAATAATATGCGGCAGTGAAGCGCCAAAAACTCAATATTCTTCAATATACATTTTGAAACTTGCCAAACTTTCCGGACAAAGTCCCCGCATTGGACGAAGCCTTTTTCCAAAACATGTGCACTAATTGATTTAAAATAAATCTAAACACATGAGAACACCAACAACACTAAAATCTCTAAACAAATCTGCCAAAAAGTGTTTAGCTGGTAGCTGGCAAAAATTTACCCGGATTGGAGCAGCGTCAAGCACAAGTGCAGCCAGCTAACCGAAGAGGCAGCCACAAGTGGAAACCACCATTGAAAATTATTAATTAAACTTACCGTCAGCGTTGATTTCCGTTGTGCTCTGCTGTGGACTCAGGAATACATACACTGCAACGAGAAAGAGAAAGAGAGACGGTGAGAAGGGTGAGTATGTGTGTATGTGTCTAAGAATAGGAAATGCAATTAATCAACTCARAAAATAACAAGGATATAGAAAGCAAACATATGGCATTGGCTGGCATTTTTCCGTGCCTGTGTGTTCGTGTTTGTATTGAAAATTTCAAAGAAAAGCAACAAAATAAAAAAGTATAGAGCAAATTCTGCGAAGTGTTCGCGCGAGCTTTATGGCGTTGGATGCTTGCGGGAAAGCACACACAGACCAGGTGGCTAACAAGTAGAGAAACAAACAAATTGCAATGAAATTAAAAACACAAAACAAACAAAAAACTTTTAGTTTGGCTGCACCGAAACTTTAATACCCTTCACAGGTGTATTTTTTGTAGCATAATAGGGTACAAAAAGATTTTTTTTTGAAGAAGAATTTTGATGGGTCAGGTGTCAAAAAATCAATTTTCACTTTTTAGTTGATTCGGATGGAAGACGAGATGCTTTTTCACGTGATAGAATCCAAAAAGTCATAAGTCATTTCGCACGTTAGCTCTCTTTTCGTAGAGCAGGTCACATATGTATTTTTATTATATAGGGTCTCCGACGTTTCCTTTGGGGTCGTGACAAACTTAATAGGTATACCCTGTTCAAGGAACAGCAAATGGTGTAGATCGAAAATTCATCAAGCATAACAAAATTTTAACCAAAAAACGCTGCTGAACACAAACACAAACTGTTTGTTGTCAAAGTGGAGTATAGGTGTTACAGGGTTATTTCCAGAAAGATTGAAAAAAGTGTCACTGAGTTAATTTCTAAACTTTATTTCAGTTTCAAAACAACGCGGACAAAAATGTACTCTCACGGTTCTAAGGACGTTCTGTCACATATTGACCCCATCTTCCAAACCCTTTGGCATCAAATGAAGGTGACAACCAGCTGTATTTTCGAAGTAATCGACTTACCTCGAAATTATTACGGATTACTGTACAGCTGTAAGGTAGAACCCGGTCCCATTTTTACTTATTTAAAATCGCTTGATTTATTAAACGTTATAAATAGCTTGTTAAGAACTATCTTAAGGTAATTAGGTATATTTATAGACTTATAGAAAAAAGGTTAGAACTGAACTAGCACAGTAGGAGCTAAACCTTTAGAATGGCTTAAGCCCCTCTCCGAAAATAACCAAAGAAACATGTTTCAGATATTTATTATATCACCAAATAGTTTGTACTTATTTGCTCTCTCTCAAGCACCGCACCAAGTAGGTAAGACCAAGAAGGTAGAGTGATAAAGGCTAGCAATGATTTAAGTACGTGTAGGCAGATGCTCGACACAACCTACCGACTATTGTAAGACCAATTCTGAGAAGTAGTATGGTGGTCAGGCGTACAGCAATCCACTTGCCTGAAGCCAATGGAAAGGAGGCTCGCTAAACTGTGTCGGGTGCTGGAAGAACAACTTCAGCGGCGGCTCTTGAAGTGGTACTAAACCCGTCGACCACTTCGCAGAAAACTGCGCAGAAAACTACTGGCTGCACTAGATTCTACTATCCGAAAAGTAACATAAAACATAACCATACATTCAGATTAGTCGGTAATTCCAATTAACCCAGAATTATAGCCAAACTCCAAAACCACTGACGAGRACCTCATATGTCTTAAAGAGCGATAATTCGAAAAAAGAATCTTCAATCAGCCCTGAAGGACTATTGAGCTCTTATGCTACGATTTTATTAGAGTTCTGTAGTAGACGTGAGATGCTCRAATATTATAAATCATAGCTAAAATTGTTTCAAAGAGCTATTATTCTATGAGGARCTGGCCTTATCGCATAACACATCATTGGAAAGGAAGGAAGGAAGTGGATTTATAACCAGTCAAGAGTTGACYCCTCAGMAAGATTAAACGAGCAGAGATCGTGYATTGTTAAAATATTGGRGTCGTGAAGTAATTGTGTTATAAGCTTACAGAAAACGTCGYTCATCTRGAGGCAATGACGAACATAGAACTTTAAAGTTTAAARAGCTGTACATTAAACCATCCAACGAAACAAAAAGTCGCCCCTACACACCAAATTACACGAGACAAAAGACCAACACTGACGGCATTTGACTGGAAATGCCCACGCCATTGAGGTAGAAAACAAATGTTTGTTGYTACAACTGGATTTAGTGGAGCGACGTAGAAATCCCGGCTGCTGCAGCCACAGGTGTACACCAAAAGCGTAAACGGAGTACACACAAGAGGCCCAACAATTGTGTTGGCGCTGCCGGTGCGTTTTCATGTCCTGTGTATTGTTTTGTGCCTGTTCGTTGGGGCGTCAACATAGCAAAGTTGTTTATCAGTTTTAGGAAATATTTTTGGACCGTGTATACATGGCGGGCGTGTGGGCTTAACAGTATGGCTGCCGATATATGCGTTTGTAATGCCATGAATTTAGTTGACTATGCTGTGTTGTGTACATTACTCACACACGCACATATGCACGCATATGTGTAGGGTCACTACTATTAGTTTGTCAAAAAAGTCTTGCGGTATTTTTATTGAATTTTCAATTGTTCATAAAACTTTTTTTGATGACTAATGCCCAGCTCTTGACCGATGCTACGGCTGCTCCCATGCCGGTCTCTTTCGAATAATTCAGCGATTTTATCACAATTTTCGACGACAGGCCTTCCGGAGCGTGGCGCATCTTCGACCACCTCTACACCAGAACGAAAACGTTGAAACCATCGTTATGCGATGGAAATGGAAACTGTATCGGGTCCATAAACTGCACAAATTTTATTGGCGGCTTGAGATGCATTTTCGCCTTTATCGTAGTAGTACTGTAAAAAATGCCGTATTTTCTCTTTATTCTGCTCCATGTTTGCGACGCTATAACTCACGAACGACAAACACGTGTTAGCGCGTGAAATGAGCTTTCCAAAAAGGTATAGCATGACACGATACGACGAATAAAASTAGAACTACGCGCTCTCAGCGCCAACTAGCGAAAATACCGCAAGACTTTTTTGACAACCTAATATTTAAAATGCGAAAACAGCGAAGAGTTTGGGAAAACATAGAATCTCGTTATGTACTTGAGCACTACAAGCGCCAAGTTAATTGGTTACGCAGCCAAAGCCAGAGTGTTTAGGTAAAAAAAGACAACAACAATATAACAACAACAACAATAATATAACAACAACAGCAGCGATAAAGCGGTCTCGTGGCAGCCAGCAAATGCACAGTTGACTACCTCTTGCCCACAAACAAACAGTTACGCCCACCAAATGACCCTTTGCCGGTTGCTGTTCGTACGCTATCCCTTCYCCTCCACTTCCAACTATCCACTGGCAGTGGCGCACAGCTCTRATACTCGGTCGAGTAAGTTGCAATTTTTGCGCGGCTTAAAATGTCGACAGCCAGCAGGCTGTTGCATGCCACTAAGTCTGCGACCACTACTGATAATAACAGTAAAGCTTTGGACTGTCAAAATGCTTATCGACAGTTGGTTCAATTTACCTGCGACACGCATTTCTGGTGGCGATAAGTGTTTTGATGGCGGTCGCATTCAATGCAAAAACAAAAACAACAAACACCAAAACAGAACTTACACGCTCGAAACTGGTGAACGGTAAGCATATGTCGCACACTGAGTGTYAGGCGATAAGCTGCAACCACAAAAAACTTAATTCAGCAACTTCGGCGAGAAAATATGACAAACCGTGATAAAGGTCGGTTGAGTTAAATCGAGYTTGAGGCAAAAATAATAAAACGATTTCGAAAACTTCGAAACTATTTTGAACAGATATTGTATAAATTAGCGTATAACGGTAGTTAATGCATAGGAATTATAACATTTATCAATGTACATAGCTATTGAATATTCTTACGACTTATGTAACTTGGTGGTAACAAAAATACTCGAGACGGCCAAAAGTTACGCAAAAATAGAGTGAATGGCACAAAAACAGAAACAAATAAAAAAACACGTTGACCTCAATTGCATCGAAACTAACGGGTGATCCAAGTAGAGGTACTTCTTTCAATAGCCTTTTTTTGACAGATCACGCTTGAGTTTTTTCAAGCTGTTATATTATGGTTGCTCAGTATTGTTTGACACTTCAGACTTACGCCTGAACAATGTTTACAAATCGTTCAACTTTATTACGAAAATTYCCCATCGCAACACCAYCACTCATCTTGAGACTCAGCATTCATTATTGGATAATATTTGGCCGAATCGATGACGTAGTGAAGAAAATATAACAGCCATAGCTGAGACAGGATCGTGGAGAGTCGATTCGGCGTCGTTCACAGCAACTCGGACTGACTTATGGAACGACTTGGCGCGTTTTACATCGAGATCTTAAATTGAAAACGTACAAATTACAGCTGGTGTAAGAGCTGCAGCCGCTCGACCTTCGCAAGTGGCATCGCTCCGCTCTATGGGCTCTTGAAAAATTCCAAGAAGATCCGWCGTTTTTGAGCCAAATTTTGTTTAGCGATGAGCCCCATTTCTGGCTCAATGGGTATGTAAAGAAGCAAAATTACCGCATTGGAGACGAAGAGAAATCTAAAGAAGTTTAAGTGCCGCCATTACATCCAGAAAAAATAACGGTTTGGTGTGGCTTGTGTTCCAGTRGAATCATCTGCCCATACTTCTTCAAAAATGATATCGGCGACGCCGTGATAACCGACTATTTTATGCCTGAAACTGAAGCTCGTGATCTCGGCGAACCATGATCTCGGCGGGATCATGTGGTATACGTCGTTAGACTTTTTCCTGTGGGGATATGTACCAGTTACCAGTCCAAATGCTCGAACGAGTTATCGAAAATTGGACTCAAAGATRGACTGTCTGAGTCGTAGCCGCGGYCAAACTTTTAAAGAGATAATATTCATCAAATAAATGCAAAATAAACGCAAAATAATGTTCTTTCGATAATAAGCATTTGAAATTAAATTTCAAGTTTCTATGTACGGAATCTCGAAATGGATCCCTCTTTATATCGTATTTGGGGATGATTTGAATATAATTTTCACTATACTATATTCATTATAATTCATTCACGATATCATCAAATAATGAATGTTGGAATCTTTAATKCACATTTTTGGCTAGCTCTCTCTAATAACCAAAACCAGAAATATAGCTTCTCATCATCTAAGTAAACAGTTATCCTTAAGAATGCTCGGAAACAAAATTGTAAATACTCACCAAATAGACAATAAGGTTAAGGACGAGGTACTTTCACAGTATTAGGCTAGGGTTAAATAGAGTAAATTAAGAGAAGATATCTACTGAAGCTATCTGAGTTAAATAAAAATATAATATTTGTTTGTGACCTACAGTAAAAGTTACAAATATACTTGAAAATGATCATGCCAAAAGTAAAAAATTATATATATGTATAATTACAATTATATAAGTGTATACATATGGATATGTAAGAACATTTTCCAAACGCATCGACTACATATGTATAAGACAATTGGCTTACATAAAACACGATAAAATATCTGTAATTACAAGGATATGTATATATTACGCACACCCTGCCCTCGGCATTATACYAACCAATATAGTATACCCATGTATATCTTTGCAAACTAATTTATTGCTAAAGTGCCAATTTCTAAAACTTTGCACACGCTGCCGCACCAAAAACGCCRCAGAACAACGTTCAATGGAAAATGTAAAATAATTGCGCTACAAGTAGGTGAAAGAAAAACTGAAACTTAAACCGTAAGTTCTCAAAGAAAACTCTGAACTTTTGCTACTAAAACGAAAAAGGCGTATAAACGCAAAGTAAGTGGCTAAGTATGTATGTATCTAACTGAGTATGTGCTCGGCGAACCGGGCATTAGTGAAACTTACACCAAACAGTGAATCCCAGCGCGACCAGCGCTGTGACGATGAGCCCAATATTCGACACAACCTTCACGAGAAACGATGATGAATTGCTAAACGGTTGGGCGGAGCAAGTTTGCAGCARCGTGTTGGCGCCCAGTATGGGGATCTGGAAGAGAAGAGAGTAAAAGTATTGATTATACAKACATTGACAGGGCAAAAGTACAGCAAGTGGGTATACATGAGAAAAGCGGAAATGGGAAATTTGTAGAATAAAAAGTAAAGTTGTAGTTTTATCGGGGCTTAAGCAGAAAATGATGGAAAACGATTTTCATAGTCAAATTATTTTAGCTTTGATGGTTGAGCTATATCTTAGTGTATAAAAGTAAGTGATGTGTTACTAAAAAAGACTAATATTTAGTTTTACTTTCTTATTTAAAGTTTTACAAAAGATATTTGAGACAAGAAATCGGAAGAGGTCGAAAATTGATAGCAACTGTTTTTATACCCTGAATAGGGTATAGATTTGTCATGAAATTTGTAACGTCCAGAAGGAAAAGTTGTAGACTCCATAAAATATATATAAATATAAATTACCAGCCTGACAAGCTTAGTTGATTAAGCTAAGTGCGAATGTCAATCTGTCTGTTCGTCTGTATAACTACGCGAACTAATCCCTCAGGTTTTAAGTTATTACTCTAAATTTTTCCACTTTTCATTTTCTTTTTAAGAAGCTGCTCATTTGTCGGCASCATCATAGCATGTAGCTGCCACACCGACTGAATGCTCAGAATCAAATTATGTAAGGAAAACTTGTTTAATCACAAAATATATTTTCTTTAAGATCGGATCACTRTAGCATATAGCTGCCATACAGACCTTTGTTGCTGTTCACTTTGTTGTATTTTTTTCCAGACAAGGAGTGCCAACTCGCGGTATTCATCAAAATTATTTAGGAATTGCTTAATGATTTATACAACAACAACAACATATGCAACGATTTTATCTCTTACCTAGTATATCCAGAGTTAAGAAAGYTCGAGGAAACGTTCTAACCAAATGTCAATGAAACACCTCGCTTATTGTCCAAAAGTATATATTTGCTGAAGGAAATCTCTCTATTCGCTATCRAGAGCCGAAGCTTTGAACTCATTTCAATCGTATTGTTATTCAAAATAATGATCACAGCGGGCGATATACCGAGTTTAGCGATCTTCCGACTTTTCGATATCACTTTTGTAGTTCGATTGATGTTTTGTATCAAAAGGGACGCTATAAGCGATTTATTTCTAACAACGTATACGAAGAAGGACACACCGAAATTCTCTACTCTTTCAACTGCATTCCGGTAAACTTGCATCACAGCGTCGCAGAGGCTACTAGTGRTACTTCTGCTCTGCTCATATAACGCTAGGAGGGTGGGTTGAAGAGATAGTTCTCTGCAAAAAGCTCCCCCTCAAGCTCAGCTTGAGACTACCTTATTACTGTAGTGTCTTTCGGGCAGACGTGACTGCTATTAAGGTTGCAGTAATCTTACTGCTACGAAGTGCAGCCTCTTTCAGGGAGTAGAGCATTCAATCTAAACGCAGAGCAGCAACACTAGCGCTAAGTTCGCAAACGAGTTGCAACTCCAATCCATCTTGCCCATCTCCATCTTGCTTTCTTGCACTAGACCAATGGACTTTGTGTACGCTTAGGAGACGCAGGTCTACCATCAGCCCCTAATTTAATACAAAAGTCTTCTAGCATAGATCAGGACATAAAAAAAAACTACTGAACTGCTTGCCCTAACAAAGTTCATCACGCCGCAATCGTAAAGAGTCCAGTAGGCATTCATGCAAACGCAAGTTGTACAAGTTGCATGTAGAAGAGTAAGATGGAAACAACCAGACACTTTCTCCTTTATCGTTAAAGTCTGTGTTAGATTGAGGTTGTAACACCTCGGCAGTSTCACCTTCGGCGAAAGTGRACTTATGTCATTGGGTTTAAGAGAGTTTGTATTTGAAGTTCGTAACTAGGTTCAACCGGACATTAGAAASGTTTTGAAGTTTAGACAAATACCTCAAGGCTTTCAAAATGTATTGAAATTAATAAGTAAGCGAACAAGTACTTCGCAGAACGGTTTCTAAAATTGTTCATCAACTGTTAATTAGCGGCTCAAGTAAATAACCCAACTAATTACGTCACTTTTGTAAAAGCCAACGCTGTACTTGGTATACAAAACATTCACCTCTGTTCGAAATACTTTTTAAGCAAACATAATTATATACATTTGACGGGCACCTCGACCAGCACACAGTTCAGGGTAATTAAAGAGACAAATGATCACCAATCTATGCGATGCTCCTCAAGAAACAACAAAAAAAATTCCAGTCAATATAACAAAAACACATTAATTCCGACAAAATTAACCTCAAATTAACAAAACAATGTGGTGGAAAAAGTATGCGTCGCGGATTAAATTAATCTCGGCAAATGAGTGCAGAACAATCGAAGGAACCAAAGGCTCAGGGCGAAATCYCGCTAGATGAAGACAATAAAAATTWAATTTGAATAACTTGAGGCTGAATAAAAAATGGCCAAAGGGAGATAATAAAAATAAATTGTTTGCAAACAAATTGGGACAATTTATGAGTGTGGACATGGACATCCAACTGCCCAAAGAGAGAGRGAGAGCAGTATTTAATAATTGACTTGTAATTGAATTTCGAAGGGCAGCCGCTTGAAATATAAACTGCTGCCAATCGAATCAGAGCCGCAATTAAAGAAAGCTTTATTGAAATCTAATTTATTTATTTTTATTTTTATCTTTTCCCTTTCCGCTTGTTCTTTGTCTGCTTGTGCTTGATAATTGGGCTGAAGAAAAATTAGGAAAGCCAGACAGCTTAATAGCTGTGAGACAAAAGTGAGTAATGAACAAGGGTGGGGTCACAAGTGTGAAACAGACAAAGTTAATCGCATTAGAGGGTATTTTAATCAATGAGAATATAGAAAATTAAAGCAAAAAAATTTAAAAAAATATAAAAATGCAAACAAAATGAAAGCGAGACAGCAGTAAGCAACTTAAAGCAAAACAGAAGCGCTGTGAGATATAAACAAACCTCACAAGTGGGGATTTTCAATGTTTTTACTTGAACATAAGTGCTTTGTGAAAAATATAAATATATATATGTATCTATAATAAGGCTTATATTATATTCTACAATTTTTTTAACAAGCTTTGGAGGACTATGCACAGAATAAATCGAACATGAGAAACTTTCTTGCTTACCTCTTAACGCGAAAAATCAATCCAACTTTATGTGATAATATTGCTTCAATTTTGCTTATCTGTTAACGAGTGTGCCATATAAAATTACTGCTCATTATACCCTAAACAGCGTATACCTATTATGTTTGCCATGCAGTTCGTCATATTCAGAAAAACAAAGGAATTTTTKAGATATCGATTTKACATTTTGCATATGTTCTTTTCTTTCCAAGAGGCTGTTCATCTCTCAGAACCGATATCAGAACGCGAACATAGCTGTCCAACAAACTGATCGATCAAAATTCTTAACTGGATTTTTTATTTAACTAGGTCTCTTCGGGAAATTTGACATGAATTATTATCCAAGACAAGAAAGATTATTATTCATCAAAGTCTATAAAACCTAACCAGATGTACATATACAACGAAGAGCCCGAACATGCACCGGATATAGATCCGAGAGTCTACTTAAAAAAGATTGAGCCGATTTGCTTCTATTGGAAACGAGTGAGAAACGATAGTCTCATATACTCGTATTGTAGAAAGCTAGTATTTTTTAAGCATAAACATAAATTTTTATTTCATATATGATGAGAAATTCGAACCGCACAAGATGAARGGTCGTGACAAGAAAACATTGTAGACACCGGAATCGAGTTTACGTTTCCGAATGAAGAAAAATTGTTTTATAATACAGATTGTTTGGAAATTTTGCATTCTCAGAGGATAACAGATGTCACAACCTTTCGGAAATCACATATGTTTTGGTTCCGTGGTCTAGCTCAACTTGTTATATTACTACTACACTCTAGATAGATAGATACATAGATAAAATAATTGAGGAATGCACCGCGACCTTAGGTCTATTGTGCCCTCTCCTAACTCACAGGAACACACTTAGTCCCAGCATATTGGTGAAGTCCAATATCCTGCTGGGTGCTAACGAGGCGATGTGATCCCTTTCCGGATACATGGATCAAGGGCTACTACACTCTAGGCGCAATGTGTATACTCTGTTGTATTCTAGAATCCAGATGAAATAGGTCTTCCACAGCTCGTATATAGAATCCCTCAAGACTAAGTGTTGCTTGAATGGAGACAATGCGTTCTAGCAACATCTGATATGGTTGACAAGCCAGTAAATAAATATGGTAGACATGGTTCTGAAGAAGAACAAATCGGCGGTTTCGAATGATTACCGGCAGAGCTATTCAAATACGCCGGAGTAAAACTGATAAGGAACATGCATCAGCTCCTTTGTATAATATGGTAGGACGAAAGCATGCCCGACAATTGAAATTTATGTGTGTTCTGCCAAATCCAACCCACAACCTGCGCCAACTACCGTGGGACAAGTCTTCCCAACATCGCATATAAGGTTCTATCTAGCCAACTGTGTGAAAGATTAAAGTCCACTGTAAACAAACTGATTAGACCTTATCAGTGTGGCTTTAGGCCTGGAAAATCAACAACCGACCATGCGCCCGATCTTGGAAAAAGAAAAGAGGATCAACACGCACCACCTTTTCGTCGATTTCAAAGCTGCTTGCGACAGCAAGAAAAGGAGCAGCCTCTTTGCCGAGATGTCTGAATTTGGTATTCCCGTAAAACTTATACGGCTCTGTAAACTGATCCATCAGGATCGGGAAGGACCTTTCCGAGCCGAGCCGAGCCAAGAACGAAGACGAAATATCTTCTGCAATGAAACAAACAGTCGTGGCAATTGCAACTTGGTTCCCACGTCACTGTTGAAGTCATAACTTCGAAGTCGTAGATGACTTCGTCTACCTTAGAAGAATTAACACCAACAACAACGTCAGCTTCGAAAGCCAACGCATAATAACTTTTGCCAACAGATGCTACTTCGAACTAAGAGGCAATTGAGAAGTAAATCTCGATGAACGAAGACCAAATTCTAA